TGGCAAATTTATAGTGTCCTATATCCACCTCTATAGTAGCATACAGAGTAGTTTCCCTATAACCTGATCTCCACCGTTCAGCCCTCTCTCCTCTCCAAACTCTTGGCAACTTCTGATCTGTTTTCTATCTCTATGATTTTGCCTTTTCTAGAATGTCATATAAACAGAATTATGCAGTATACAGTCTTTTCAGACTGGTCTCTCTAACTTAGTAATATGCATTTTAAGATTCATCCATGTTGTTGGACCCACAGTATTTTTCTTATTTTTATACCCCAAACATGTATACATTCTCAACATATTATTTCCTTTACAACATCTGGCTAGTCACAATGTTTAATAAACTGTAGAAGCCAATAAAGAAGTGAGAAAAAGTAGGTTTATAAAATTGGACAGGAAGGCAGAACACGAGGCTAATATATATTATTTGTTCAAATAGCTTTCTTGGAACATATTGTATGGAATGAAGACTGGCATAGGGCACACTTTTGGGGTTTCCAACACCAAATGCTCACACATTGTCCATATAGAGTATGACTTACCTTAAGAAAAGTTCTACTTTCAAAGCCTTGATTTAAAAACAGATTAATCCGGAGGATACTTAAAAGTTTTACATTAGAATTCTTTATTTTCTAGAAGGATTCCAAATATTTCTGTTAAAATATTCAGATTTCTCTGGGATTCAAATCTGTTCTGTTTATGTAAACACTCAGTTTACAAATTTAAGAGCACAATTACTGTTTAAAGTGAAGTGTATTAAGTAGCATAATGTTCAGACATTTGGCTATCTAAACCCCAAGTGAATTTCGGAAATCATCCACCGAATGAAAGATCCCACAGCATCGGCACCTCTGTGGCCTTCCCTGTCTGAGGAGAAGGGCCATGAAAAGATCGTGGTCATGGTGAGAGCCTGCTGGGATGAATCTCCGGAGAGAAGACCTACTTTCTCCTCCATCAAGAAACTGTTACGAGAAGTCAGTCCCAAAGGGTGAGTTAGGTGTGCAACAGACATTTTCTCTTATTCATTTAACTATCAGAATTTAACACTATATGATTGTTCTATGTGACTCTCCTTCCTCCCTCCCTCCCTCCCTTCTTTCCTTCTGTACTCACTCAGTATCTAACCCTATGTGGAGCACTGTGCTATGTGCGATTAAAGAGGAGTGAGAAATTTTCTCTATTTTTATCAGTGTTACAAAAATGGATCAGATCTACCGCTCTCTTTGTCCATTTCAGACATCACTAATCAATCAAGGCCCTCTTTCCCAGGGAGTGTTGACGTAGCCTCAGAATCTTTTTCAAATCAGCACTCCAAGAGTTAGACTAATCAATTTGGACTGGACTATGTGTTAAAATTATTCACCACCCTCATAGTAGGTTATGACTTAAATTATACATGCCTCTCAAAGAGTTTTCTCACTAGTAGTTTCCTTCACATCAGGATAATTGTTTCATCTTTTGGTACACTGACTATATAAAGACACCACAATGTTAGTGGTAGTTTGAACTGGTAGGAAGAGCCCTGCTACTCTTAACCGGGCCATTCAGCTATGCATTCTTAACTCAATAGTCTCATATTTCACATTTTCCAGATCATAATAGCTTTTACATTTTAAAAGTTATTTTTATCTTGTGTTTAACATTCACAAATGAAAAACTGTTTATATTTATGGTGTATAATATGAAGTTTCAATATATGTATACTTTGTGAAAGGAGTAAATCCAGCTAATTAACACAAGGATTTGTCTCAGGTCAGTTGATACATGCTGACTTTTTACTCAGAAAATACGGCCCCTAGTGCTAAGACAAGTCTATTTCCTATGTAAGTCTCAGTCTCCTCATTTGAAAGATGAGGGATTTATGTGAGTTATCGGAAGACCCTTCTAAAGCGAAAACCTACAGGATCTAGAAATGCCCCTTACATTGGACCATCTGAAAAGAACTGAATGACCCATCCTGAAATCTGCATCTTCAATGGCATGGGGCATGCTGGGAGGTGGGGCATGGGCCATTGAAAACCACCATTTGTTTAGGGCCCAAAGGTGCCAGACAGAGCTCTAGACACTCTGTATACACTATCGCTCTCAGTCCTCAGAACAATACATACTGTGGAGTATATATTATCAGACTCACTTTCCAGAGGAGTAAACAGGCTCAGAGAAATGAAGGACTCAATTTATGCTCACAGAGCTGTTCAAGGGCAGCCTCTGTCCAGCCCCATGGCCTCATTGCCATTGTCATTTCCCTGTTGTCTATCAGCAGCCCTTAAGTAGGAAACCTGAAGGGCAAGAAATGTTTTCCTGGAATGTGTAGTTGGAAGTTGTGTTCCACTGTGGCCCTAAGGTTCTTGGAAGAAAACGCTTATGTCTGGGTTCTTTTAAAGCCATGTGAATCTACAAGACAGTATGATGAGCAAGCTGGAGATGTATGCCAATCACCTAGAGGAAGTGGTGGAAGAGAGGACCAACCAGCTGATGGCAGAGAAGAAGAAGGTGGAGAAACTTCTGTCCACAATACTGCCCAGGTATTTTAAAGCACTGGAGGCCTTGACAAAGAAACGCAGGAAACAGCAGCATCACTACCTAAGGAGCCCCACATGGAGGGATTATTTCAATGGTTCTTCTCCTAAGAGGATGTGGGATTCTTATAAAAGGGATCAAGCATTTTGTGTGTAATTTGGTATACCCTGTAAAGGGAAAGGGAGGCAAAACCCCCTGAATCCATGGGAATGGAGACTGTAATCAATCTTTTACACAAACGGAGATGGATGTAGCAACACCAGAGTGGCCACAAGATGGCGCTCGCGTCTCACGAGTCCGACTAATTGCTAGCTCCCCGGTTTGTCCAAATCCTTTGCACGGTACAGTATGTACCCATGACTTCAGATTCAGAAATTGCTCCATTTTTGGTTCTGTTTTCACCTGTGCACACATTCAGCACTTGGAAGAAGCATTTGCTGTAAAAATTCCTGTGCACTTCTTGCGTGTCTTGACCAAAGAAGCAGGGATGGGGATTTTTTCTTTTTTTATTATTCATTTTTTTTTTTTTAAGAGACAGAATGTTGCTCTGTCACCCAGGCTGCGGTGCAGTGTGTGATCATAGCTCACTGCAGCCTTTAACTTCTGGGCTCAAGTGATCCTCAGCCTCCCAAGTAGCTGGGGTGACAGGCATGTGCCACCACGTCAGCTAAGGGTTCAGGGATTTTTAATGTGAGATTGGTTGATTGAAGTAAAAATATTGATTTGTGGATTGGGGAACTATTACACTTGCTCCCAAACCTGCAGGCTAGGTCTTTACAATCAAACTTTATAAGAAATATACCGAAAGAAAATCCTTTTTGTAAGATATTATGTGACTCGCTCCCCCCATTTATACCCATCAGTTAAAGTCTCTCTTTAAAGAACAAAATCATGGTCTTCACAGCCACATGGATGCACCCGGAGACCATCATAGTCAGTTTACTGTCACAGAAACAACTGAATACCGCATGTGCTCACTCATAAGTGGGCTCTGGTCACTGATCACATGAACACAAGGTGGGATCGGCTGATACTGGACACTGCTAGGGTTGGGAGGAAGGGGGGCTAGGACACGTGGCAATGCACTGGGGCCAGGTTTGCTATTGGGTGCGAGGGTCCTCTAGAAGCCCAAACTTCACCTGCCTGCACCTTTCTTGTGTAGTAAATCCTCACTTGTACCTCATGACTCTAAAATTAAAGCATAAAAAATAAATAAAATATCTCTTTAGAGAAAATGCAGGTGGAAAAATGGATGTCAAAGAATTCCTCTAGATAATAGATCTTGTGAACCCCAAACCTAGCCATCGAAGCAAAAGGAGCTATGAGAGCGACTTTGCAGGGCTCTATAGAGGACACGATGAATAAGATCTTGTTCAAAATGATCCCTTTCTCTGGTTTCAGCTTCATTGGAGAATAACTCATAGCTGGAAGATCCGTGGAACCGGAACATTTTGAGTCCGTGACAATCTTTTTCTCTGACACGGTTGGATTCACAAAGCTGAGTTCTCTCAGCTCCCCCCTGCAAGTTGTCAAGCTCTTCTATGACCTGTACAGTGTGTTCGATCACATCATTAAAACTTACGATGTTTACAAGGGGAGATATCTTGCCCGGCTATGAAGTCACATGTGTTCCTTGTCAGCTATCCCCAGGGCATGACTGAATACGGACCTGACCCCAGACGTCAGCCTGGAGGAAGTCTCCGTTTCAGCCTATGTCACTTCATGGCAGAAACTCAATATCTTATTCCTGTTTGTTTTCTTGGAAAAGGTCTTGATTAGTCCCAGATGTATGTGCTTGTCAAGACTCACCACTCGTTCCCTCTGTTTCCCCCCATGATTTGATCTCACAGTAAACACTTTTCTAGAGGAGGCATTGACCTACTTCCTTCTGATTCAGAGAGACTTGTGCTTACTCTCCTTCAGAGGTTGTCTTTGGATGTTGTATCCTGATCCTTGGCAGTTCAGGGTGAAGACAGACTCCCAAGTTTAGACTGTCAGACTCATGGCTGGAGAGGAGACAGCAACAATGACCCGCCTGGTGCTACTCTGGGAGACACGGGAATGTGGCCACCCGGAATGAAAAACCATTTTGGATGGAGAGGATAGCAAAAACAGGAAGCATCTGGCTTCCTTCAGGGGCTGGTGATGAGGGCTCCTCTCCCTATTTTCTGGCTCTGCAGATGGGGTCAGATGATGACTCCAGGGACAGTAGCACATGCCTGCGCTCACACGCCCCTAGGGGGCAGCTGTAAGTGCCCCAGCTCGGATCACAATGCCAGGGCTCTGCCTCTGCCTCTGGTCCTGGGCCCAGGGAGATTTGGGAGACAGTATGATCGTATAGGTCGGCGTCACAGTGACACGTCCTCAGTGGTCACCTCCCAGTGTTTGCCTCTATTCAAGGGTGAAAAAAAGGATGGCATGGATAACCTTAAAGAGATCACATAAGCCGGGCTCGGTGGCTCAGCCTGTAATCCCGCGCCTTTGGGAGGCTGAGGTGAGTGGATTGCCTGAGCCCGCGGGTTCGAGACCCGCCTGGGCAGCGAGAACTCATCTCTACAATAAATCAAAATATCAGCCGGGCGTGGTAGC